CTACTCAGGTGTCCCTGATGACACAGACAAACCTCCAAGTGGCCTTTAACAACTCGTTAAAAGTATGCAAATCACCAGCTGTCTGCAAGGAGTATAAATCCTTCCATTCCCCAACATCCACTCACAGCTGAAGAAGCTTCTTGGATGAGGAGCAAACCATCTTCAAAGAAAAACCAGAAAGTCCAGTTGCTTCTTGAAAAAGCACCTGTTAGGAATATAATCTAACGGTTGGGTTGTTAATATATGAATCATGTAACAATGCTGTACCTGTTTCTTTAAATAATGGTGTAAATGTGATTGGTTGCTATTTCCTCAATCAGCCATAAGATGGAGCCAGAATCACTGTTAGATGCTGATCTGATCTGAGTGTTTGGAAGCTGGCTGTTAGCAGTGCAGTTAGATCAGCGTGAGCTATTGTAAGTTTTGCAACTGCTAGCAAACTTTGTGTACCGGACTGTTTGTATGATTATGGACTATGTTATTTGGATTATCCCTTAACTGAAAGACATTGCTGACTGATTGTCTTATCCGTGTATGACTTGGACTGTTTGATGGACTCTGATACCTCTATTTCCACGAAAGTAAAAACCTATTTAAACTGCAGTGTCTCTGTATGCAGGTTTGCTATTTTGAAGATAGCAAAGTCCACATTTTGGACAGAGAGGACTGCTGGTTTGAAAGATGAATCAAAGAGGTCATCATATGTCAAAATTGATGCCAACACCATTCTCACAACACTTCTCTGAATTCACTCGCTCTCCCAATGGGGAGCTTACCTAACAGCACCTTTATGACATTAAAGGATTAGTCTTACCATCATTTCAATAAAAAAATAAAAATAAAATACATGGTATGATTCTTAGCTGAATTGCATTAATTATAAACTAATTATTTATGATATGCAGGTTTGATTCTTCCAGGTTTCAAAGTTTTTTATCTTATAGTTTGCCATTTATAGCTTGTATTTTCTTTCACTTACAACCTGTTGTCATGGCCCTGTCAGATCCTAGTTCAGATGAGGAGGAGTTGGAACTGGGACCATCCAACAGGGATGGCATGCCTGGCCTGGCATATCTGGAGAATCCAGGGGCTAAGAAAATGCTGTCCACTGCTCCTCCAGCATTAGAGGAAGTGCTTGAGGAGCTGTTTGCCTTCACAAATGCAGGATGAAAAGGGATAATTAGTTGCAGACAGGCATCTCTGTGGCCTAGAGGTGGAATTCTTGCCTCACAATCAGAAGGTTGTGAGTTCTATCCTAGGTAGAGGCACATGTAGGGTCTCCTGCTTGGACTAGATGACCCACAAGGTCCCTTCCAACTCTGTTAATCTAGTTATAAAGACAACAGATTCCCTTTGACAAGCAACAGCTGTCTCCTCCACCAAACCTAAAGGCATGGAGAGGGGAGCAAAGAAGAGGTCAGCAAGGCTGCTTGCAAGGAGACAGCCCCATCCTTCCTCACTAGGAACATCTGGCTTGGGCTGATTTAACCATAGGCCAGAGTGCCAATCATTTGCCTTGGCACTCATTCCCCTGACTCTTGGAAACCTTGATTTCTGAACTTCGGCTTGTGTTTCAGCCTCTGGATTTGCATACCTTGCTTTGCGGACCCTGACTCTGGATGGTGGCTTATGGGGTTTATTTTTGAAACTTCACCACTTTTGTGGACTTCACCTTTCTTCCTGTTTGGGAGCTAAGTTTGAGTTTCCAGTTACTATTGGACTCAGCTGGTGGGATTGTGTTACATTGACTGTGGATGGCTGGTTTTGGAGGAAAAGTAGGGTGGAAGATTATTAGCACCTTTGGAGAGCTTTCTGTCATGGTTTGGCCGTGCAAAAGACTTTATTGGTGGCAGGATCTGCCTACATGACTGGGTCAGAACACCTGTCCAAAAAGACCTACAAACAAAATGTTCAAATTCTTTGTTTAAAAAGAATATTATATTATAAAATAACCCTCTTCAATCTGGGACCATATGGGTTGGTTTCAACTCCTACACCGGGGTGAAATCCAGCAGGTTCTGACAGGTTCTGGAGAACTGGGAGAAGAAATTTTGAGTAGTTCGGAGAAACAGTAACGGAAATCTTGAGTAGTTCAGAGAACTGGCGAATGCCAACCTCTGGCTGACCCTACACCCACCAAGCCATGCCCATAGAATCAGTAGTAAAAAAATGAATTTCATCACAGTCCTACACCTTTGGCTACACACTACTGTTTGGGGAACCTTCATTGGCATGAGAACCATGATGGTAGACACTTGAATTCAAATTCCCACTAAGGATGGCATCCTAGACATACTTGCTTTGATTTGGCTTCCCTAGGAACCCTTTACTTCTAGGCAGTACTTAGTAGTTTGGAGTCAAGAATGTAACTGGCAAGAATGTGCAGAGCTTCAAAAAAAGGGCTTTGCTCCACTAAAATTTCTAGGGAAGTATGCCTTGAAGCAAACTTGCAACTCAAGTGGCCCTACTTCTAAATTGTGGAACAAACCAGCAGGTAGATTTCTTCTTGATTGATCAAAGTGGTTTCCAAGCATGTGACAAATCCATTTTCTTCAAAGAAAGGCCACTGGTTGAACATTCCTGCTGAAGGCTTCACACAGCGGTGTCTCTATTCCACAAAGTAAACTTTTGAGATAGAATACCTCATTTCTGTGACTCCCAGCAAAGCTGTGTGTCTCCTTCCCGCATACTTATTAAACAGCTCCTTCCAGTCCTTTGTTTTTTCCCCCGCTCTAACATATCCAAGAAAAAAAATTGCACGCCATTCCACAGGGCTTCCTTCTGGGTCGTTCTTTAAAATACTGTGCTATTATCCATGATGTTATCGAGTTAGCTTTCACCAGACTTAATATTTTTTCAGTCTTACAAACCTCAAGGAGTTATCATGAGAATTGATTGTGACAAGAAAAAAATCCAGCATGTCACTCTGAGCCACTGGAATTAATAGAGATATAAAGTTCTAGTCAACGAGTATATATTTATACATGAAGTTTAATGATTTGTCTACTTGCTACAATGGGAAAGGGTGATCTCAAATTTTAAAACAAAAAATAAACGTTAGGACATTCAAGCTTTCAGTTGGGCTTATGACAGGAGGAGAAGGAGAGGAGGAGGAAGAAGAGGTGGTAGAGGAGGAGGAAGAGGAGGAGCAGGAGGTGATGATGGTGGAGGAGGAGGAGGAAGAAGAAGAGGAGGAGGAAGAGGAGGAGGGAGGAGATAGAGGAGGAGGGAGGAGGTCCAACAGAAGAAGGAAGAGGAGGAGGAGGAGGAGGAGGAGGAGGAGGAGGAGGAGGAGGAGGAGGAATTAAAAGCCATATTTTTTCAAGAAAATCAGACAAACGACTCTATAAGCAATGAATGCTTCCACAAAGGCTCACATTATTGGTGCCTCCATTAAAAGAATTCTGCATATGTAGCCTTTTTGTTATTATTGGTTAGATTCAGAGATCGAGTAAAATTGGGATAACTCCACAACTATCACTGAAAATACATAGAATGTTTGTGGGGGTAGGGTGCCACAAAAACACATCATACTTCATGGGAGGAGACCCAAAATTTAACAAGAATGTCAAAGAATACTCTATTGCCCTCAGCTATGACTAATAAAAGTTCCTTCTCTATTGAAAGCTTCTCTATATCTGGAGGGCTTCCTACTTCTTCCAGACTCCAGCCTGAGGTAGCTGTGCCCAGACATTCTGGCTTAGCAGCATATGTAGGATACAGGGTCTTCCAAGCCACAAAAACTGATACATGATGTTAATGTACTAAGCAACATTTTTAAATTGCAGTGATGGTTTCTGATAGATTTGAGATTTGAGAAGTTTATTTATATGCCGCCCTTTTCCCTGGGGGGACTCAGGGCGGCTTACAACTCGAAAANTGCTAAGCAAGAGCGTTGTTAAGTGAGTTTCACCACATTTTACAAATTGGCCATGCCCACCCGGTCACATGACTGCCAAGCCACTCCCACCCAGTCACATGGCTGGCAAGCCACTTCACCCAGTCACATGCCCGGCAAGCCCCTCCCACAAAGCAGGCCACACCTACAGAAGAGGTTCTAAAAAAAATTGAAACCCACCACTAGTTGCCAAGCATCCGTATTTTAATCACATGACCATGGGGATGCTGCAAAATGGAGCAAAAGTCATTTAATAATTGTCTTGCTTAGCAACAGAAATTTTGGGTTCAATTGTGGTGGCAATTTGAAGACTACCTGTATACAGGTGCCTCATTTGAAAGTCATAAGTCGAGGACCACCTGCATCTTGCTTCATCAAAGGCACTGCTTCTGATTTGGATAAGTTCTTTGTGGATAATTATTTTCCTGCAGTTTTCCAGGAAATACATGGGGCAGTCATTTTTGGCCACACAACTACCGATTCATATCCCAATTTCAGGACAATTGCATCTTTAAATTTTACGAGTGCTGTGTTTTTCCACTGAAATGTCTATCAACGGTGTCAAACTGGTGGCCCGTAGGCCAGATGCACCAGTACTGGCTCCACAAAGGCAAAAATGTCACGATACATCACATGACATCAGTTTGAGACGGTGAGTTTGATACACGTGCTATATGATGATCAGCCTCTAGTGGGCATTGGTAATCACTGTACAAAAGGAGATCTGTCTTATTTGGCTACGAATCCAAAAAGGTCCTGCATTTGAGAAGCCAGATGCCGTCCACTGGAAAACAGAAACATTTCTCCTTTTGAAACAGTTTACATTCATTTTTAAAGCAGAAATGAATAACTTGGGCAAGAAAAATAATGGTTCTTGCACCTTGCCACGTGAACTCAACAGCCTTTTTTTTGCAATTTAAAAACAATCGGCATTGACATTTCAGGCATGCAATAACATTTGCCACTCACGCCCAGTGCAGAAGGCAATTCAATACAGAAATGTTTTCTGTGTGAGCAGGCTAACGAACAAGTGACTTTTCCTGATCTCTCATTTATCAGCTTCTGCAGATGTAGTCAAAAGCTAGAATGGAAACAGCGGTACCTTTTTCTTTGACGCTTGTATTGCTTCCTTGAAGGAGTAAGAGGATGTGACACGGATTTTTGTCTTCTTGGAGAACAGGACTGGGATCCCAGATCGTCTTTTGCTTGAGCTAGTAGAAGAGCCACTATCAGAAGTATGGCTTTCAAAGGGAATTAAGTCATTGTAGTATTCCGAAGCCACCTCATCTTCTTCATTCACTACCTATGGAGAGATGTAATTGCAGAAACTTGGTTTGAGAAAGGACTGAATCCTATTTCTTAAGGGGCAATGACTGAAGTGGATACTAGTCCCCATATCTGCAATTTCTAATTCCCACAACTGCATTTTTTTAAAAGTGTCTTTTGTGGAGAACTTTAGCTTTGGTCTTAAGGAAGAGGTGAGAAATGTGGGATGGTTAGAACATAGAATAACAGAGTTGGACGGGACCTTGGAGGTCATCTAGTCCAACCCACTGCTCAAGCAGGATACCATTTCAGACAAATGGCTGTCCAGCTACTTCTTGAAAGCCTCCAGCGATGGGACACCCACAGTATCTGAAGGGAAGCCATTCAGATGTTGAAGGTTGCCCAACTCTGAGAAATTATGAAGTGACACAAGAACAGCTCCATCTTGACCTTTTTGTCCTTGAAAAGAGCAGTGATGGATTTTGACTGACCACAACAATAATTTAACAATAAACTTAATTGTCAGTTTCTTGATCTGGCCTCCTTCAAAGAGCTGACACTTTTCATTACTTGCTTGCCTGCACACCGCTCAAACTGAGGTCGAACCTGGCATGACTGTAACCTCCTTTCTCTAGTTCCATTTTCTTTCCCTCCTTGAGGACAACCCATTCCTTTCCCCCCCATTCTGTTTCCCAGGGGCTCCCAGTACAAGGGCAGATCTCTCTTGTTGAATGTCCCTCACCCATGATTTCTGAAGATAGGTGGAGCCACACAAAGTAAGATGGAGTGCTATCATCCTAAGGTTTGGAAGTTGCCTGTAGCTGTTTGGATGGACACAGAAGAGCAAGAGAGAAAGAGAGAGAAGACTTTGACTTCTTGGGCAAGAATTTGCTCTTCTTAATTTAGTAACAGATAAAATATATCTGAAAATGCCACCTGAGTTTGCTAGGTTTATGTGCTTGATGCAAATTAAAAACAAGAAGAGTTTCCATGGCACTGTCACAGTTACTCTTTTGACTAGGTCCTACAGACTCTCCTTGACTCTTTTGACCAGATCCTACAGAGCCTCCTAGGACTCATATTGTAAAGCATTTGTGTGTGTGTGTGTATTATATATGTGTGTGTGTGTGTGTGGTATTTGTGCTGATAAATAAATAAAGGGAGACTAGTATAGATCTATTTCAAGCTATTTAGCTCTTATCAGCTAGCCATACCCTTACTGGGATTCGAACCTGTGCTGTATTGCATCTTAGGCAAACGTCTTAGCCATTGAGCCACAGGTCTCCTCCTTATCAGCTGAAGCCAAGGAAGAAGGTATATTTAGAGTCACAACCCCTGGTAAGCCCCAATTATGGGAGGAAGCTAACTGCTTCCATCATCTGTCAATCGGCAATATATATATATATATATATATATATCTTTGGATACTTACCTGGAAGAAAACAGACTCTACGTTTGCAGGAAGACGATATGTTTTCCTCAAATCACTGGTCTTCACAAGTCTACAGGTGCCTCCATTAAAAGAATTATGGAGAACATTACCTCGACGTGTTCCTGCCAGAATATGATATCTAAGGGAAAACAATAGAAATTTTGCATCCGGTCATGGGAAGCACCCTGGATTTGTTCCTTAATTATTCATAGTAGGGGAGGGATTTCTGCTCAAGCTGGTGTTTTACTGAAGAATTAAAAAAAAACCTCATCCTTATATGGTAACAGAGCAAACAGGCCGAAAGTCAATTCATTAAATTCATCAATAACTTATATGATTACTGGTGACATGCAGATACTTGGATTACAACTCCTATCATACCTAACCATACTTGCCCCATTGTCCAAGGCTGATGGGAGCTGTAGTCCAAAGGGCATCAAGTTTGATAAAACTAGACTAAAGGTAAAGGTAAGGATCCCCTTGCATATATGTACTCATTGTTCTCTACTCTAGGGGGCGGTGTTCATCTCCATTTCAAAGCCAAAGAACCAGCGCTGTCCGAAGACATCTCAGTGGTCATGTGGCCAGCTTGACTAAATGCCAAAGGCACATGGAACGCTGTTACCTTCTCACCAAAGGTAGTTCCTATTTTTCTACTTGCATTTTTACATGCTTTCGAACTGCTAGGTTGGCAGAAGCTGGAACAAGGAATAGGGGCTCACTTGATGCTAGGGATTCGAACTGTCAAACTGCCAACCTTTCTGATCGACAAACTCAATGTCTTAGTCACTGAGCCACTGCGTCCCTATAAAAAAAAGCTAGATTAGATCCTCCTTTTTGCCATGTTCTTATCTGTCTAAGTTCTTTGCTAATTGTCTGTCTGCAATCGCTCTTCTTCCGTTCTCAGATAACTGGTTCTAAATGAAATTGAGCATCTTAATGTATAACTATGGAATAAATTATAACATTTGCAGCCATGTATGGATATGGAGGAACCCCGGATGATTTGCAAGGTCAGGAAAGCATGGAGCCGTATAATGAAAGGTCTTCATTTAAACTACGTAGTTGTGTTTCCTTTTCTTTTTCATAGCTTATGCCTTTAATTCCTTTGAATTATTGCTTCTTATTCCTCTTTTTCTTGAGCACTTCAAGCATGGCTTACCCGTAGCCCATTAGGTCCACACCAGGAATGCTCTCATGTTTTCTTGCACACACGGGTCGCACACGTGGACAGTTCCTTTCATCTGAATTGTCCTCACAATCATTTTCTCCATTGCACTTTAACTTCTGGCTAATGCAGCGACCTTTTGCCAACAGAAGAAGGAAGAGGAGGAAGAGGAGGAGCAGGAGGAGCAGGAGGAGGAGGAGGAGGAGGAGAAGGAGGAGGAGGGGATGGGGAAGGGGAAGGGGAAGNTCTTCTGCCAGCTCCACTGGCGGGCCACAACAGGTTGATTGCTCTCACCCTTAGGAAATTTCTCCTTACTTCTAGGTTGCTTCTCTCCTTTGTTAGTTCATAGGGAGATATTCAAAACCTAGATCTTTATTAACCTTTTGGGTTTCAGCCCATTGTAAATTTGACTTCATCAACCAGAATTGGTGTGGAGAAATGATGTCATGAGGCATACGATAGTCTTCCCGTTGTTTTTATTTCTGCTAAATCAATTATTTTGGTGAAGCCGAGCAAATAACATTTTGTTTCTTCTGATAGTAATTTGAGTCAAATTAGGATATATCCCTATGGAGTGCTGAGATTCATTTTCATGACTATTCTCTACTATATTCTGCTTAAATGGAGAAAGGCAATTAAAAGTTTCCTACTGATAACAACAAACACAAGTGAAGTTGCTTCTCCTTGTCTGTGTTTAGCTGTAAATGGGAGATGCCTAACTTCATGTCTGCCACAAAGATAGAGGGAGGGGAGGCTAATTCCTCCACATAAAAACATAAACTTAATGAGATAAAATGGTCACAGCTGGCAGTTTTGTAGATGCTTTTTTCCTGCTACTACTTTCAAACAGTTTAGCTATGATCTCAGTCAATGGTGCCTCTGTGTGAACTATCTTTTTGTTTTGCTATCTTAAGCTGTGAAAAACAGAGTGGGATGAAATTGTTCTATGAGGGCACACACAGCCTGACATGAGTTGTTGTTTTTTTTAATTTACTCAGTGTGGGTTGGGGGGGAAATGAAATGAAGACGAGAAAAAAATGGAACTGATTCCTTGAATCTTCACTGAAGATGGGATATAAATGTGCTAAATAAGTCAGCATATTGGGAGTTTCTTCCTGTTATTTCCACAGGAAGAGTTGTGTTGTTATTAGTTGTGAAGTCGTGTCCGACCCATCGTGACCCCTGGACAACATTCCTCCAGGCCTTCCTGTCCTCTACTATCCTCTGGAATCCATTNCTTCTCATCACCCCCATAAGGTGACTATAAATGCTGCTCATTCATAATAGGGACAAAAATAAAAATGTCTCATCAAAGTATAGCATAAAAACCTGCAAGCCACAACCATTGACTGCTCATTACAACGTGGCTAAATGGATATTCTCTGAGTTGTTCTGGTGTTACAGTGCAGGAGCTTAATTAAATAAAGAATGCTGAGAGTTATGCTTTATTTATTAGGGTTTTATGCCATAATAATGCAAGGGAAAAGTTGCCAATTTAATAAAGTGCTCTAAACATGATGTTCCTTTCATATATTATTAATATCTAAGCAACTCTAATAAACATACACTTGCATTTTCTTCTACAATCTTGGTGATGAGTTGTTGCACGACTAAAATATAAAAAAGAAACATGAAGCTGTCAGAATAGGGTATTAAACTATTCAGAAGGCCCATAGTAAACTTTACATTAAAAATCCTTGTAAACAATAATATAATTTAGCAGAGCACCCAAGCAAGAAACATCAAATGTACTTCAAAAGGCACATACTATATTGAAGGTTATTTAAATTATATATGATACTTTCTTGGCTGTTTCCAGAAAGAAGGAACCTACCAAAAGATCCTGTAAGCATTACGTCTGTTTACATAATATAGCGAATCAAATCAGATTAACATCCAGCAGGTACATTGAACCAATATGTTAAACTTGATTAATGTGGACTGTAGGTTTTTATGATTCAGTGTATTATAAGAATCATTTATAATTCAGTAAAAGAGCCATGGTGACACAGTGGTTAGAATGCAGTATTGCAGACTAATCTGCCGACTGCTGGCAGTTTAATCCTGACTGGCTCAAGGTTGAGTCAGACTTTCATCCTTCCGAGGCTAATAAAATGAGGACCCAGATTGTTGGGGGCAATATGGTCACATTGTAAACTGGTTAGAGAGGGCTGTAAAGCACTATAAAACAGTATATAAGTCTAAGTCAGGGGTGTCAAAGTCAACACCCGGGGGCTGGATCTGGCCTGTAGGGTACTTAGATCTGGTCCGTGGGGCCAGAAGTGAAGGACCAGCCCTCTGTGCTTCTGCCAGTGAATACGGGCTCCTAAGCTCCGTTTTTGGCTGACCCGACCACCTGCAATCCTCTGCCAGAGAAAACGGAGCTGGGGAGGGCCGCCACTGCCTCCCTGACATGAGTGACATTGAGCTGGCCATGCCCATCCTGGTCACATCCACCCTGGCTCCCAGAGGTCAAACACAACCCTGGTGCAGCCCTCAATGAAATTGATTTTGACACCCCTGGTGTAAGTGCTATTGGTATTGCTGCATTGTGTACATACTGAAAATACATGAACTTAGTAACCAATCTATATGAATGCAGCCACAGTAAAGCTACTCTTATTTTATCCTTTCTTTCTATCTCTTCCATCCCAATTTGGAAGAACTGAGAAATAATCTGAGATATTGAGCATCTATTGATGGTCAGATATTGTCTAGTCTGATGAAAAGAGGGACTAGGGGAGACATGATAGCAGAGTTCCAATATCTCAGGGGTTGCCCCAAAGAAGAGGGAGTCAAGCTATTCTCCAAAGCACCTGAGGGCAGGCCAAGAAGCAATGGGTGGAAACTAATCAAAGAGAGAAGCAACCTAGAAATAAGGAGAAATTTCCTGACAGTGAGAACAATTAATCAGTGGAACAACTTGCCTCCAGAAGTTGTAAATGTTCCAACAATGGGAGTTTTTAAGAAGATATTGGATAACCATTTGTCTGAAGTGGTGTAGAGTTTCCTGCCTAAGCAGGGGGTTGGACTAGAAGACCTCCAAGTCCCTTCCAACTGTTATTCTATTCTATTCTAAATTATATTGCCATTATTGATCNGAACCGCTGAACTGCTGATCTAGCAGTAGCCTGCAGTGCTGCATTTAACCACTGCGCCACCTTGGCTCTCTCTAATCATCTTCCCAGTGTGCGCATGTGCACCGACCGGCTGCTCTTCTGATTTCCAGTGCATGCATGCACACCTGCCAGCTCTTCTTCATGTGTGCATGCACATCACAAAATTGAAAAATGAGTTGGCCAGTGTGGATGTGTGTGCCAGAAACCGGAACAGTAGCTGTCCGGCACGCACATGCGCACCAGGCAGCTGCTCTTCTGGTTTCAGGCACACTCACACACACATATACACACACACTTCAGCAGTCAATGCCAAAAAGGTTCTCCATCACTGTTCTATACCATACCAGACAAGCAGCTGTCCAGCCTCTTCATTAAAATCTCCAGTAATGGAGTACCCACAACTTCTGAAAGCAAACTGTTCCATTGGTTAATTGTTCTCACTGTTGGGAAATTTATCCTTAGGATAAAACCACATAACTATATACACATTTTCATACTGATTTTTGTTGTAGAATTTGTAGAGTGATGCTGCTGCAGATGTGAAATAAAATTAGTAATTCAAAATGTTCCGCAAAATCAATATTGATAGACGGATTCATCCTTACCCAGCATGAACATAAAGTAGGTAAATATTCATTTACATGAGCTAATATGAATGAATCTCAAAACTGCAGCATTGCTATAAATGAAATATTGGCAAAACAACCAGTAATCTTGCATCTTACAAATAAAATGCTACCAACTGTAGTTTGATGAAAATGTCAATCAGTTATTGTTGTATTTTTTCCCCAACAAAGTTAATGTTCTCCAGAATTGTCTAGGAAGACAAAATACTAACAACTACCATGCAATGCGAAAGCTTAATTTGGAGAATCAGCTTGAAAGTAGTTTAATCAAATTCCTGTGTCAAACTGATTCTTCTTCTTTTTTTAATTTTGATTATCATTCAAATTGAATTCATTGCCTCTAGCTGGATTTGATAATTTGATGGCCTTTTACATAGACAAAACAAAAAGGTTTTATCATATGGGAAGAAAATTTCCAAATCATATTTACTCAGTGTGATGAGCCTGTTGAGAAATCACAGTCCAATTAATAATGTGAAACGGGTGCAGCCAGATCAATACACAACATTGTCTGACGGACAAGTGGAGATTAAATGATGAAAACTGCATTGAGGCACTGCTTTTGAATGTGCTTTGTGACATGTCTCACACACACATAAGAAAGGGAAAGAGTCTGTATCACAATGACATAACTTTACTTTGGTTGTTGAAGTTTGAAGTTTAATAGCATTTGTATGCCGCCCATACAAATGCCGTGGGACTCCGGGCGGCTAACAATACAGTAAATCAAAAAACAGAAGAGGAAAAAAAAGATAGATTTAAAAAACACATCATGCACTCCATTCTGAGTGGGGCTGGACCATATTTTGGGGTCAACAGCCCCAGGCCTGCCGGAACAGCCAGGTTTTAATGGCTTTACGGAAGGCTGGGAGAGTGGGAAGGATCCAGATCTCTGCGGGAAGATTGTTCCACAGGGCCGGGGCAGCTACAGAGAAAGACCTCCCCCGGGTAGTCACCAACCGGCATTGTCCAGTCGACGGTACCCAAAGGAAGCCCAATCTGTGCAATCTTATAG